CACACACACACACACACACACACACACACACACACACACACACACACGGTAAGAATGGACACTCATATAAAGAATATGCCTCGAATCTGATTACCTCCCATTTGTCCTCACATGACCTGTTGATAATGATGACTCTTTAAGGAGGAGGGGCATGTCATATCATCCAGATGTTGGTGGCATTTTATCTTTCCATCATGTTTTCCCTTCTTTGGTGAAGGGTCATCCACAAATCAGCGCTGGCTCTGATGTATTTTTAATTCTAAGTTTATGAGAACACATTAGTTTGTTGCAACAAGAAATAAAGGTGAAAACTGAACTAAGACCCAAACTAACAATCAAAACTATGGCGAGAGGCCTGAACAGGAGCAGAACTCTGAGACCTGACGTGGAACGAGGGAAACAGACGACCCGACACAGAGGACTGAAATACACAGAAGGGAAAAGAGGGAAGTGGAAACACCTGGAGAGACACAGCTGACACAAAAGACCATGATGCCAGAGGGAAAAGAAAAACTAAACACACTGAGCATGGAAACACCAGACCTTTCAAAGTAAAACAGGAAACATGGAACACACAACATGCTGGACAGGAAACATGACATACAAAAAAGGGTGGATGGATGATACTACTGGCTAAACTAAAACTCAACTAGACCCTTTTTATGCAAAGCTAACTGACCACGTGCTAAAATAATAATAACATTAATAGTGGTATCACTGTGTGACTTTCAAGTAGTCTTGTTGTGTGAATGAGAGCTGTTTGAAGTGCTGACACAGAGGCTGTCAGTGTGGATGGGTGAATGTGGCGCCTCCTGCTGTCAGCAGAATTAGAAACATGCTCCAGGATATGAATACCAGTTGTGAAATTAGTCTAAAACTTTTTGCATCTATTTTTAGTTCAGTTTTAGACAGCGGACACAGCACTGAACAGATCGGTCCACAGGAGACCCTCTGTGGGGTTTTGATGTGTGGGTAACGTCGTTGTTTCTCAGTGTTTGTGTGTTTGGGGAAGGGTGTGCTGTGCTCCTGGCCAACCACACCATCCATGTTCCTATTTACAGACAGACGCACACTTTCTCCTCCAAATGACAGAGTGAAAGGCTTCCTTCCACCTGTACATCACACTAATGGAAGGCACACGTGTTTGTGTGTGTTTGCATTCAGGTAAACACTAGTACCCATTCTGAAGAGTCATTCAGCTGGACATGAAGAATGATGCAGGGGGATTATTTCTACTTGTGATGAATATGTTTTGGTAAATATCAGCTCAAAAACATATTTTGCAATTGTTGCAGTTTTGGAAGATGGAAAACAGACAGACATAACCTGATAACCTGAGAGACGATCAATGAGAAACATGTTGAGACAAAAAGTGACAACATGCTCAGATAAGATCAGTGCCATGTGCAAGCATGTGTGTGCACTGTGTGCACTGTGTAAGAGAGACAGAGGCCTGATGTAACCCTGTAAAACTGAGCATGCAGCAGCTCCTAGTCTTGTTAACTACATAGGAACCCAGAGAGCTGTAGCTGTCCTCACACATCATTACATTACATTACATTGCAATAAAATGAATCCTGACCATAACTCCTGCTTGTTTAACTGGAACCCTAACTACACTGGAAAGCCCACTCTTACTCTAAAGGCCTTTACACATCAGACCCTAACCTTAGTAATCTGTGTGAATATTTTGTGCCATCAAAATATTTCTCAGGCTCACCAACCACGTAATTTCACTGGATGAGTTTCCTGTTTTTCAGATTTTACCCATCAGATCACTGCAACAAATCACACACCAGTACTGGATATAAAGTGATGTAGAACCAGTAAAATAATAACTCAGACTGATCCCTGAAACTCTCCCTCTCAAACGTGGTCACGACTCTGCCAACTAGAACTCAAACTGCCCCAGAAATACAAAAGCACGACACAGTGATACAGTTTGAGCTCTTTGATCAAACCATGAAATGAAGCCAGAATCTCCTTTGCTTCAGTTTCTTGTTCAGAAACAGAAACCAGCTCAAACATGGATGTTTCAGCTGACTAAATCGTTTCCTGTGTAGTGTTTTCATCTGTGTCATCAGCAGTGTAGGGACTAATTAAGTAACGCGTTACAGTAACTACGTTATTATTGTGGTAATGAGCTCGGTAACTAGTTATTATGCCAAAACCAGGAACGCGTTACTCGTTACTGGGATTTAGATAGGCTCGTTA